GATTTCTTTCTGCTCGCATGAAGAGAGAACAGAAATAATAAAGATGAGAATTAACTACAGTTGTTTATTACTGGATTATCTCAGTTGATTTTCCAGTTTTCGATGATAATTATTACGAGGAAAACTGAACAATTTATCATGAAGAATGAATGAAAATCACCGACCTATGTCAAGGAAAATTGACGGGAAAATTAATCGATAATTGCCTTGCGTTTTTTTCTCTTCATCGACTAATTTCCGCAATTAGCCTCCAAACACACTTTTCGATTTTTCTGCCGGTTTTTTATCACATCATTCTGGAAAAAATACTACAGATGCTGAAAAGACAAAAGACTGAAAAATCGGTACTAACGAAAAATTTACGAGCAAATTTTTATTTGAATTCTATTCTCGTGTTCATTTTTACTCATTTTATAATTAAAAGATGTTGATATAGAACAAAGAAAAACATTTGTAACATCAAAAGAAATAAATTAAATTGACTTAAATATTTGAAAGATGTATTAAACAAAAAAGGAATATGCAAAATGGAATTGCAGTTAAAATATTAATCTAAATACGTTCCAACGAGATCAATTAATTTTTCTTTCCGATATTTTCGGAAATATCTCGAAATACAAGGAAAATCACGAAATTTTCATCAGAATATTTTTTGTACAGTTAATTGATACCAACAAAAGAGTTCTTACAAAGATTTCGCTGTCTCGCTTAATTTCGGAGATATTTCTGGAAAATCCACCGAATTATTGTTATTGTTTAAATTAATTGAATGTGAAAAAAAAATCTATAGGTTTTCCAAATCGAAATCCATTAACTTTCGATTTTTCCCCGGCCGCCTTCAAAATATGAATTATTTCGGAATATAATAAATAGAATGATGGATAAAGTTATAAAAAAATAAAATGTCATTTTATCGAAGAACAAATCAAATTAGTTTCGATTTGAGTAGAAAACAATCACATTATTCTTTATCGAAGGAAAAAGTATTTCAGCATTTCTCTTTATATTCAATTCAATTTGTCATCTCCAAAAAAAAGTTTTCGACATTTTCTGCTAAGTCCCAAAACAAACACATTAATCTAGTTAGTAGATTGATTTATGTCGTTATGCGTAACATAACCCTCACATAAATCCAAACGAAATAAAAATTTCACGGTCAATGTATGCGAGCGATTTATGTCGTAATGTTACAAAATCAAATGTATCCCGATTATACGACACACACGCAATACCACCACTCTCTTTCACTTTGCTTACACCGCAATGTTTTTTTTTATAATTTTTTCCCTTCAAAATGGCTCTTGAAATGTCTGCACGTGAATTTTCTTCATTATATTAGACAGTCTCTAATTAAAGTGACAGCTAAATAGTAGAAAAGGCCAAAGTGGAATAAAAAGAGAAGGACAGACTTCACAACACAACTTACACTTGCTTCACTTTACATACAACTTTGACTTGCCATCAAGCAAATAAACTAGCGAAAGGAATGGTTGAAAATAGGAGTGTACATGCGTTCTCATCTCTTTTTAAAACAATTTTACCGTTTTTTCCTGTCATCTTTCAGCATTTTATGTTCCACCAAAGGGCTAATACTTTTTTTTCCCATCCCATTTTTTTTTCCTCATTAACCGTCGGTCATGCACAATATATTGTAGAAATATGTCATCTGATTTGGCAAGAGTTTGCGGAACGCTACTCGGGAATTTTCTTTACCCGGGGTTTTTTATTCAGTTATACAGGAAACTAAATCGGTGGATAACTAGGCTCCGTGGTGACTCCGTAAAGACTCACATTGCATAATTTCTCTGTGTAGAGAAGACGAAGAGAGATGAGAGAGAAATAATTTTTATGTGAGTTAAAGTAGGTTTTTCTTCGCTACCCTGGAGTCATGTATGCCTATGTAATTTTACAGTGATTTCAGTGTTCGTGTGCGGATGCATACGTAATGACGATTATGTGAAATGCATTTTGCGAATCTGAATAAAAAATAACGCTTTTATAGTTTGAGACTTTTATAAATTATTCGGAATCTATTAGCCCTGAATTTCCTCGGAATAAACAAAACGTCAATTAAATTCGATCTGCGGAAAATATAGGATTTCTCTCACAATCAATTTATCAAAAGAATAATAATGACATTATTATGATTATAATGCTTTCTATATTCTATGTAGATTATGATTTTATAAATAATAAATAAAATCAATGTGAAATATAGAAGAATTGAGGGTAATGAAGATATTTTTTTATTCAAATTTGGATAGTAGCACTTATGATGAATCTAAAACGATAACCGAATGTTTGGAAATCATTGAATTGTCATCAGTTTAAATATCGAATTGATGGTCTCGAAAAAATCAATTTTTTCATTCCTTAACGACGTAATAAATTTAGTATATAAAATATCATTAAGGTGGTTGTCGCGCGACAGTCTCTGTAAAAAGTTTATCCGCTGTAAAACGGGCCAGTTTAGAACACAATCTTTTAGCGGTATATAGTCTCA